CCGAGGCTTTGATTGAGGTTTCGAAACATCTTCCTTTTTACGGTGCAAGGTTGTTGGCCTTGCGACCAACCCCCAACCTGGAGGACCAGGGTACCTGTCTTAGTCTGACCTCTCCCCCTCGACCTATCTGGCTAGGGAGGCCCTACCAGTAGCTATGCTTGGGATCACTGAGGTACTCAAGCCCCACCACCACGATGGTGGATCATAATACTTTATTATTTAGAAGTTTTGCTTCATTTCTAGGTTGCAGTACTTTGCACGTGGCATCCAAGGTTACATCAAAAAGCTGAGAGAAGCTCTGCAAGGGAAGACTGCGGATGAACTGAAGACTGAAGAGAACAAGATAAAAGTTGTTGCTCTTAAAACAACATCTAATATCAACACTTTGATCAAAGATCTGTTTCACAGTCCACCAAGCTATAAGAGCATCATAAGTTTATCTTGGAAACCAACGGCTGGAAGTGCTGTAAGTAAAATGTATCTCATCCACCTGGTATACTACCTTAACAAGAAAGCGTTTTATAGCCATGTGGATGTCTGGTTTTCAAGTTATGCTTATTTGCCTTAGTGGACCCAGATTTATGATGTTCTGCTTATCCATTGAGCATATAAAATTGCGTATTAACACAGAATGCCATAATCATTTTGAACTGCAATGAATATCAAATAAGATATTCTTAATGTCAATTTTTGCACTCAAGCTGGTATTGCTCAGTATGAATAGGGACGACTGTGGACTGGACATCAGTTCATTCAATTTCCTGCAGGTTTCAGGCCAATCAGCTTCCTATTCATTGGGTATTAGGATTCTTTCATCAGCAGTTTCTTCATTTATATAGGTATGGAACATAAAAGAATGATCTTTTCATGAATATTGTGATCTTTGTTTGATTTTTTTTAATTTTAATTTGTAGAAGGATGGCCCATCTGCTGGACATAAGCGACACACGCCCATTACGTACAGCTCAGATTCAGCCGCTAACAAACATCCTAAAACTGACAAATCACAAAGAGAGATCTATCAACCTCCTAGTGGCAAATACAGCAACAAAGTCTCCAGTTATGGTAAGTTTTAGGCATGTTCACAACAAAATTTCAAAAATGTCCCTGTTCCCTGTTGGTTTTGCTGTGTTTGTAACAACTCAAGATTGGTATTGGGTAGTTTACTAAAATTTGTCAGCGAAACAAATGAGTGATTGCAAATGTTGTTTTATGCATTTTCTCCTTTAACAGTTCCACCGCAGCAGCGTGGAAGAGGTCGAGGAAGAGGAAGAAGTTTTCGAGGTGTGAGAGGCTGGAGACGTAATTACTGAATACATATTCCTGTCTTATACACAACATCCTCAGAGAGTTACTTCTTTTTTAAGTGCTTCAGTATCATAATGGTATTTAATTAGAATTATTACTTGCTCTGCATTTCCTGGAAATAGAAGCAACTTTATATATAGTCATTTTTCTGTTGCATGGAACTTCATTATAATAGTATGTGCAGATACACAAGATTCAATAACAGCTTTAATAGTCGTATGAACTCAACAAATTAAACCCATAAACAGATGAAGTACTGGTTTCTGACATTCAATATATTAAAAATTATTCTTCATTCCTAATCTGCTGATATTTTTATATCGATGTGCTTCGTATCGTACCAAAATGATGTCATAAGTCTCCAACGTAGTGGTTTGTTTAGCGGAAAAGACCTTGCATCAGATGAGTCCTGGTTGTGTTTTCTACTAAGAATATCTTACACTTATAAATTGTACTACAAGAAATTTATCACCTGAAGCTCCATGAAGAAAATTACACACAGAGATGATGTTTCGTGCCCAGCAAAATGGACAAGAGTTTTGCATCAGAAGTGACTTCTGAAGATATCTTTATTGAACTAACCACCGTGTGATTTCATTTGAGTGTGTGTGTGTGTGTGTGTCTTTGTGTGAGCATAGACCTGTTCCAACAATCCTTTTCATCATTTATACATCTTTCCTTACATGAATTCGACACTACAATAATATCGGTCATTACGTACAGAAATGTATTTTCTTTCAGATAAACTTTTTTTTTATAATTGGCGTCATGAGTCCTGGTTTCATGCTTCACAATTGAAAGTGATTTGCATATTACTGCATTAACTGTGCAATATGTTGTGGTGGGATTTTTTATTTTATTTTAGCAGATGATTTCTCTCTGATGACCATTTATCTTGTAGCCCAAAGTATCTGGGCTTTTGCAAGACTATATTTATCTATGATTTGGAGGACTGCTGGTTTGGCTTTATGTTTTGAAATGATGTGTTTATTATGTGAGATTTCAGGTTCTCTTGGCAACTGGGATGAAGATGGTTGTCCTTACGGATGTTGAACCCTGTAGTCTGATAGATACTGACCAGCATTCCAGAGGAGTTTACTGCCTCCATCATTATGCCCTGTTTATGGAGACGGTAAGATCTTCTGAAATGTTAGTCAGTTTCTAGCAGACTATACAGTGCATTATCTCAGCATGTGACCATATTCAGTGTTTATTAATGGCTTTGAATGGCAATTTCATATGAATAACTTCATCTGGCTGTAATGTTAGTTCAGTGACTAAAATATTATTTTTTGTTGTAGAGAATGGAACATATGATGCTTTAGAATTATGTAGTAGTGGCTGCACCTAAAATGTCAAAGTAATTTCTCTTCTACAAATTGGGTTAAGTTATAGAGAGTCCAAGATTTTGATGACTTTCTTCATAATTTAAAACTCTAGATAAATGGGTCTCCGTTAGTGAAAGACATTACAGTTTGCTATGATATAGGCCTAAGACATACAGTATATCATGACAGTCTCTTATAGTGTCCTGTTATCATATTTTCACAATGGCCACCCTACTTGGAGTATTTATTGTAAGTCATTTAGAAAGTTTAAATCAGTAATAACTATCTTTTATTACAGATCAGCATTAGGTTTTTATAAAATCATGGAAATATTATATTAAAAATTATTGAAACTAACTGACCAAACTTATGAAGGCTTTCAAGTGGAGAAGTATAAGAATACTGATATTATTCAAGATGCGTTAAAAAACAAATTTTTGTGGGATTTAAATATTTTTCTGGCCATTTCAGAGATGTCTCAAGTATACAAGGTGCATATAGTTGGAAGCGTGAATGCAGTGTTGGTAGAATTTTGATATTTGCAGATGGTCATTCTGTGGTGTACGGAGTTATGTAATCCTATATAAATCATCAATACACACATTAATTTATGGTCATTGCATGTTTTGGAATTAAATCACATTCTTCAGTCATATTTTTCTTTAAAAATTACTGAAATTGCTTATTTGTTATAACCCTTGTAAAGAATATACATTCATGTTGTTTTGTTCTATGTTCCACCCTGACACTACACAATTTCTGCATGAATTAAGTGGTTGGCAAGCAATGAAACAACAGTGGGCACAAAATTTTTCACTGAAAACTGGTTATGGTTGTGTTGCACCAAGATCACAAAGAGACACTGTATAAAATGACTTTAAATACAAATATGTAGTTTGATTGATTAGCTGCTCTTTCTTGCATTTCTTTAAATTATTAAAAGTTACAACATTTAAAACCACATTGTGCACATGCATACAGTTCATTTTCTTTAAAAACATTAATATAGGGTGCAACAGTTGTGTTGATGGTTTATACAAGAGTCATACACACAGAAAGTTTCAGTGCATCATGTTTGTAGAAATTTGTTTTGTTTGTGTAATGTCTGTGCTTATATTGTGAGAGGAATCTTGTCTTTTTTGTGATCTGTAATTTTACCTGAATGTTCTACATTTGGATTAATAGTCTTCCTTCTGTTTCCAGGATGACGCAGTTGACTGCTGAATGGGTGTTCTCTGTATTACTTTTCAGAATTGCTTGGATGGTAGGTGATGTGCATCGATATGTACTGACCTTTAGTGGGACTTCTTGCCTTACTGTGTTTTGGAAGAATATGTAATTTTATTTTTAATTTCAGGACATCAAGTTTCCAGGTGTTGAATTACATCAGATACTTCATAATACTTATATACACGTTTATTTCAGGCCATAATACCATATCAACAGAGGTGACAGCTGCACTAAACTATTCTTTCCATACAAATTAAATCTGAATTTCTAGATCGATCATGCAGTTGCATGATTTGCAGCAGAACTGCTTATTTTTAAGGTGAGTTGATGTTGGTTACCCCCATTTTCCTGTCCTCTCCTGCAGTTTTCATTGCCCAGGAAACAACACGTATGTAAAATGGAAGTTGATGTATGTTAAACATTGTGACATTTGTGTTTCAAAGTATTAAATAAAAGAATTCATTCTACAGATGAAAGTAACTTTAGTTGCTGCTTGTAATGTCTGTCATTCCTTCTACACAATCCTGTAATAACACCTTGCATCTTTTAAGGAGGTAGCTGGGGAGACATGGTTTCTATGGTAAATTGACCAGGCTGAAAGATGGTTTCAGTTTGGATGCTACTGAAGTGCTGTTTATTTGTTGTAGTTTGATAGTAGAATATAATAAAATATGTAGACTGGATTAAGAGTTCAATCTTGTTATACACTAAAAAAGCAACAATGTGGCACTAATGAAATGTATAACCTGCTTTACAAAATGTTATTTCCAAATCAGGTATTTATTAATGTATCTGTGCAAAATTTAATTCTCAGCTGGTAAATGTTGTTATTGTTTTCAGATTCATTTTGGTGAAAATTTAATTCTCAGCTGGTAAATGTTCTGTTATTGTTTTCAGATTCATTTTGGTCCAATCTAAAAGGGATAAAAGGAAGCTAACTCTTATTTTAATAAAATGTTATTCTGGCCAAGGTCGGTTCTATGGCACAAAGGGAACTACGAATCAGTTCTAGCACAGCCTGTATATCTGGAATTTCTTTTAAATGTGCTTCCATTTCAGCTATACAATCCATAAAAAATGGGGAGAGTCTTGATTAAATGAGCATGCAATTCTCAAGAACTATGCTCCATGGAGTTAGGTTACAATCATTAACCAAAAATGAACATTTATTTCAGAACTTCATATTACAATGCATCTACTATTTCACACATTAGCCGATCCAGAGCATTACAAGATTCACTAGCCGATTCATCTTGGTTAGCAGTGTCCATGCAGTCAAATAGCTCTGTTGGAATCAGGAGTTTTGAATCAGTTTCACAAGGATCTGGCAGCATTTGTAAAGCTTGCTGTAAAATCTCCATTACCTGAAAAAAAATACCTTAATTATTTTTGATTTCATAAGGTGTTGCTACCACTAAGTTTTTCATTTCATATATTTATATAATTAACACTGAATATGAACTGTGTATATGCTATATTTATATAATTAACACTGAATATGAGCTGTGTATATGTGATGTGACACCTATTTTCTTTGCCAGGATCAGAATAACATACCGAAGATTACCCTCACCTTGTCCAAATGCTTCTGGAAACGCTGAGCTGTTTCCATCCTTTGTCTACGCTGAAGTTCCATCATAACTCTTAGAGTTTCCCTGGCTTGGTGTGGTCGAAATTCATTGAGAAGATGATGAATGTGAATGAACAAGAGACTGAGGTCCTCAACCTTCTCAGCACGACAAGCAGTGTCAGGACTCCTAACAAGTAAGTCTAGCAAATCAAGAAAGTTGATGAGCAAAGAGTGATTCAACTTTCGGAGCTCACGACGACGATCAAAATGCTGTGGATACAAGCGCTTTATGCCCTGAAAGTTAAACATAATAAGAGGAGAACGTTAAAACTGTATTACTCATATGCTCATGATTTGTGCAATCACAAAATAATGTTAGCATTATAGTATTCATTGAATTTTTACTTTTTACCATCTCCCCATTGTCTTAATGCGCTTAGAATACAGTTCAGGGTTTACCTTGTATAAATATTCTAAATATTTTCCTTGCTAATGTTAAAATTATTCCTAACATATCACAGAGTAGCCTTGATTTAGTACTTTAGTTATCATACCTGGCTTTCAAGTGGCCTTATTATTGTGTCATCAGCATTAAATGTATTTCCGAACATATTATATGTATCATGAATTACTGGTGGAGGTCTTGGCGCCCGACCTCTTCTAATATTCTCGTCGGTGTAGTGGTTAATATACTGCACTGGAGGCAGTGGCAAAGAACTGACTTGGGCCGTTTCTGATGATGCCATCTTTATAGCGTCCTTTATAAATGCAAAGTGTTTACTATTTTTAAATATCCACTGTGTACGCTGTCAGTGTGAAATCATTGTCATTTCAAGAGCAAAGAACATTCATTCCGAAATAACCACACGTCCAATAATGTAACATTATATAGTGACAAACACGGAGACTGACAAGAACCACAGACTCTACAAATTACTATCGTGCTTACATGACAGAAATACCAACTATTGACTATGTGTTCCGATTGGTGATTTTTGTTCTGAAGTTGGTCATGAATTATTATCACATGTTATAGTCTACATAACAATGCTTTACTCCTTTACCTAAGAAACTAATTGTTATGTCATCTCTTTATTCGGCATTGTTGTGTTTCATTACTGCCGTCAACAATCCGCTTTCGTTATTGCGGAAAGAGCTGAGCTGTGAATCGCTTGTAGAAGTACGTCGTAGAGTAGATAATATTGTTAAAAACGTTGTAGAATATCACAATTACTTATCTTATATAAGAATTATTAAGAAATCTGTGATACTGCCCTCCACTCTCTCCATTTTAGTTTTGATTAAATTGGTCATTGCGGGTGGACATCGTGGTCTGTTACAATTGAACAAAGTTTGAGTTAACGGACAAAGGCGGATCGCACTTCATGCTATTGCTGCGTTTGCGTATTTACTTCAGATTCTCCGGAAACTTGGTTCCACTGCCAATTTTTTTCAGATTAAAGAATGCAATGTTCTCTTTTCTGAAATGCATATCTTGCCTTTGTTACAAAGGAATTTTTGTGATATTTTGATACAAGTGAACTTGGAGGTCAAAGAATATTTGTATTCCACGATGGAACATTCATTTTACCGATTATATTGGTAGCACTGACAGTTTGTAACTAGTGACATCTACAGTTACCAGATGGTTTGTAAAGCACGTGCGAGCGGGAAAATTTCGAATGTATTGCGCTGCAGGAATGAATCTCTTAAACAAGTGAATGCGAAAACCACAAATTTTCCGACAAATATCTATTCACATAACTTTATTACCATGAACTTCAATTTTGTTCTGTCTCATTGTTCTGTTGTGTCTTATTGTTTTGTGTCTTACTGTAGGACCACTGCCACCGGGTGAAAACCCATTTGCAGTCAATAATAATAATAATAATAATTTTAGCTTCTCTTAGGAATCTACTTTCAACGGGTTTTCCTATATAAGTGTATCTATCTTGAAATATATTTTGTCTTATGACTATAAACATCGCACCAATCATATACATATTTTTCGAAAAGTATGCCATTTGTTGGAAAAGTTCTCCAAAGCACGTGTGTTAAAGACAGTAAAGAAACCTTCTGCTATATTTAAATAATTTGTATACTTTTGAAAATACTGTAGTATTTTAATTAATTTACATTTGTAAAATTCAATTTGGAATCTGAACACTTAATAATACTTGGTCAAGGAATTTAATGTTCAGAATTTTCTGTAGATAGTAAGTCCGTCTTTTAAATCATGAACAATGCTTGCGGAGCGCACAGCATATCAAATGTTGTGTAGGAGTATACATACAATTGTATTTAGAATTTCGCAGTCTTCTTTAAGCTTGCGCGGTTGTTAGTGGCTGTTATGTGTTCTTAAGCTTTAGCTTAAGCGAAGACCGTCTTGTGGGCAGATTGCGGAATTTTCAGCTGTCCTGAATTTACTGAGTGTTAAAATGCTCTGTTCTCATATAATCTGTCAATGTAAATCTGATAACACGATTTAGACATCACTCTCGTTCATACAATCGGTTTCAAGAAACGAAGTGTCCCGCGGATTTAATTTTGGATTCTTTTTTCAGCACGGAAGTTGTAAGAGTGAGAGACGTTTCGAAATTCTTAAGTCAATCTCATTTACATTTTATCTGTCGAACGCTGTAAGGCTTCCTGAAGGCATTAAAGCACTGTTGTAATACAATTTACTGGCATTACGTCACAGTGCATTGGTTTATGCAAGCGCGACACCATTGCCACTCACAATAACGTGCCCCTTGTTAACACAAGCTTGAGTTTATTTTTGGAAATGTAGCGGTGGCTTAGCGGTTAGAACGCTGGCCTTGTAATCCTGGGGTCTCGGGTTCGAGTCCGATTCCCGGCGGGGCCTGAATTTATAACTTGTGTTGGGCAAGGCCGTGGTCTAGGCGACACGGAGTTTTCCTCCGGGGGCTTCCCCGGTTTCTCCGTGGCATCCCAACAATTACTCCATTCACACACAGAAGAAGGCAATGGCAAACCACTTCTGGATCATCTGCCAAGAACGTATATGAACAGGTCCCAGTCCGAGAAAAGGATGGAAGGATCCTGTTCATATGGACCTGTCGTCAGACAGAACACTAAATAAATAAATAAAATAGCGTAAAAATATTTGTGACGTCACAATACTGGTTTGTTCCAAAACCTCCAACTTTGGCAAAATCTCGATGATTATTATTTGTTCAGAATTAGCGCTGAAAGACCGTATTATTAATAGGATGAATATTAAAAGCTGGCCATATTTTGCCCACTTATTGCTTTAAGCGTAATGAATAGGGCCGTTAACGGCACTATATTTTAATAATTGAGACATTATAGGAAAAATACGGAGGAACAAGACTATGTAAATACATTTAGGCCCATTCCTTTTCTTTAAGGATAGATAGAGGTTTAGTATTACGCTCTGAAAGCCTTCTTTAAATTTTTTTGAACCGGTCGATCGATTTTCACTAAATTTAGTACGAATGCTATGCCATTGGAGACCACTTCCACCCTCGTAGTTTTCCTCATTCGGTGCAGACAGAAACCGGAATGGTACTTTAAACTGATCGCTACCACACAATCAGCTGATACAGCGCCGTTCATAAAGGTTAACACATGAACAAAAAACAGGCCACGGCTTTCATTCCCCATTCTTTATAATTTACGGTGTACACTTAACTCCATTCAACACTGCCTACGTGTACACGTGTTGCAGCGTCTTGAATACCCAAAAAATAAAATAGCTGAGATGTGGGATGTGGAGATTGTCCCCCGTGCCATGCAGATGTATGGGGAAGTGGATTATATACCTCCACACATTATTAACTTCAGCATTAGATGGCGGTGAATGGTTAGCTTCACGTCCCGACCGCTTTACCTCAGTTGAAAGAAGCACTCGTACCCATTGGATCGGAGGCTGGGTGGGCCGCAGAGCTGATCTGGACGGTGTGACAAAGAGAAAAATCCTGCTCCTCCGGAAATCTAATCCTGGTCGTCCAGCCTATTCATTGAACTGAATGAAATGAAATAATAGGCCTTTTGTTGCGACAAATGGAACAACAAATTTATTTTGTTTGCCTATCTGCATTGACATCCGCGTGTAGTTATCATCTCATTATTTTAGATTCAAAGGAAACAGCTGACTGCTGTGTTCCTGTTTCTGAAGGCGTGTCGTGACGTCACATCGCAGGTAGTTATCTATATTCCCGGTAGTAGCGTTTGTGGAGTGGGGGAGAATTGATCGCAGGAGTACAGTACAGTACGAGTTACGTGCGGAGCTGCCGTTTGCGACCAACGCAGTCTAGTTCAGGCATTGGCACGTAGGGTTATCCGGGTGTATGAGATGGTACGTGAAAGGATGAAATGAAATTTGTGCAAGCTCCTTTGTGTTCCTTCTTTTTAAACTGATTTTTAAGGAGTTGAATAGAGACACTGCGACATTTTTATTGTTAACGTTGTTCCCTTCAGTGGTGATGCACAACAGTTGCAATTCTTCCTCGATTTTGTGGCCACGGGTCATACCATTTCTCGTCATCTTGGAGGTAGGGTGTTTGCGTTATTTGACTTCTAGGCGCCGGCTAGAAGGCCTTTACTATAAACGGAGGTCGTCGTCGTTGTTGAGAATACCTTGTAACTGCAACGAAAATATGTCCTCGTTATGAAATTGATGTTGTAGACTTTCTACCCTCACAGAAAATGTACAGTGCAGTGGATGTAAGATATTGCCTTGCGACGGAAGAAGATTACAAAGTGAGGCCAGTGTCTGAACTACGAAAGTGCTCCGAAGAATGTGCGAGATGTTATTCCTAATGCTAACTGACTTATAACTATTCGCAAATTTCTGTGAAATGACTGCTATGCAATTTGCGAGCTAGGGTTTATTCCAGTCTTGCAACGTTTACTTGTGAATCATCATTTTAAAAGATTTATGTTATTGTGTGTTATAAACTGTTTGTACAAGAAAGCGTAGTATTTTAGAGTGTGAACAAGAACTTCGCATTAGAGGCAGATATAAATTATCAGAAATCGCAACCCGGCTTTAAAGAATTTCTGTTTTCAGTTTCCACGATGCATCGGTTTACTGGCATCGCTTGTGCTGTTGTATTTCTCAGTTTAGTTCTCACGTCGTCCACATCTCTGGCATTGTCTCCTACAGGAGATCTTCCTGTGCCATCCCCTTTAGAAGAACATAATATGGGAATCGGCTCCTGCATGTACGCATACATCAATACAACTTATAATATGAGTAATGGGATGCTTCATTCTGATAATATGGAGTCCGGTAAATACGGCGAAAGTTACGTGGGGGCAGCGTACGGAGTGT